CGAAGTCCCCTGGTACAGGTGGATTTTGGGGTCTATTTTTAACCTGTGAGCTTCCTCTACCTACAATGTTTAAGCAGTTTTACCTGCTTTTATGTACATTGAATAACGTGGTCTTAAACCCAGTACAAGGATCTTTTGTCAACATTTCTCCCTCACCCATCAGACATTCTTCTCTCCTGTGCAGTCTCTCTCCATGTAACAAGGCACTAGGACACCCAGATTAAGGAAGGATCACTTTTTAAAACTGGGCCTCATAATTCAAACCTGAATTATGACAGTTCCTCTTAGTAATACCACAGCTGCTCATTTGAGCAAATTAGCACGTTTAGTACTATTGTGGGATTTCTAGATTGTGGAAAGGGGGAAGTGGATGTATGGATTTATGTAAAAACCTGCATTTAAAAATCTACAGTCATTGAGAGTTCACAGCTATGAACAGTGTTATCTTGAGGTAAATCAAGTATCTTTCCCTCCTCAGGAAAGACTGCTGAGCTCCTCCCTTCCTGAAAGGCAATTGATTAATAACTTCTCTCTTCTGCCATGTACCTTCTTTATTTTTATATTTATTATTATCTTCATATTAATATCTTTGTAACATGATGCAATATAACTGCTTACATCTGCATTACATCTCATATCTGCAACACAGAATTAAATATTAAGGCTGTGTAGCTAATCCCAGGGTATTGCTGCTTTCAGCTACAAATGCTGAAACTTGTTTTAACCAGCACTAGGCAAGAGAGGGATCATCTGCTCCACCAGTGGAAGAAAGATATTTTAGGATAGAGTTGTGCTCAGGCTGGATTGCCAGGATAGCCTTAAAAGACTTTTTTTTCTTTCTAAACAGAGTTTTGAAACTATATTGTTCCAAGATTATATATTCATATATTATGTTCAAATTTGAAACCAAGTTGCTTGAAAATGGGTTTATGTTCAAAATTCAAACTATACAGCTTCAAATCCCGCTGTGTTTTGTGTGTCAGTAAAAAGGATTTGTCTGATGGGTAACCAAGTGCAGCCATGGCACTTGGTTTCTCCTTTTTATGCTGAGATTTGCTTATAGGAGTGACTTCACTTGCTAATTTGTTTAAACTAATAATGGAAAAAAAAAATATAGCAGCTCACTGACTTGCTGGGCATATGGGCCATGATCTGTTTCCATTCAAAGACACCACAAACATTTTTCCTTCCTTCAAGAACAGCAGAGCAAATAGCACAGCAATTTCTTAGTTTCAAGTTAAGAGACACAAAAGTTTATCAGTTGATAATTTACAGACAATTATTGTAAGTTCTGCATGAGGAGAAGCCCAGGTTGAGACGTTGGAGGAGTGACACTGCTGGTGACAAGCACTGTAGGTGGCACAATGTCACATCTGGGAACTGATGTGTTTCAATATAGATCTGAGTGTCCAACTGACGTCCTGCTGGCACCCTCGTGTCAAACCCTTCCAGCACCACATTCTACCCAGGAAAGCACACAAAATCCCTCAGGAGAAACTCAGGTCCTCTTTCACTGAAGGCTGATTTATGCTTTGAGACACTCAGGTTGTTTTCCTCTACTGATATTGGGGACAGGAAGGAAAGTGTGAAGGGAAAGTTTGTTTTCATTTTAACCATCATAGAGGTTATTTCACATTGTTCCTAATAAATGCCTCAAAACTTTAATCTCCAACAATAATGCCTGGAAGCGATGGATGATCAGAAAAATATTAGAAAAGTAAATATATATTAATTAATGTGCTTTGCTCATGTAATTGTACTCATGTTATGGATTTTACTGTGTCCTTTTTTTTCTCCTGTTCCTGTGTTTCTCAGATGAGTTAGTCCAAAGACTTCCAACCAGTCTCTGTCAAACTACAGTGCTTTTTTTTGACTTATCCTTCTCTGCCTTGTAACCATAACTGTAATTTTCTTTTTTTACTTTTTCTAATAGTGGCTATTTTTATCACTCCAACTTCTGCTTTGGAAACTTAAACAGTTTCACATGAGTAGTTCATACACAAACAACAAAAAAAAAAGAAAGTAAAGCCTTTTGCTTTCCTGCTTGTTTTCATTTCCTTTTTTTTTTTTTCACTTCAGTGTTACTGAAAAGACTTTTCTTGAGAAAAGATTAATGCAACTGGCCCAAATGAGCAGCAGGAGCCACTGCATTTTAGGAGTACGAAAAGTAATTATCCAGTTGTCTAACAGCATGGAGACAACATGAGAATATTAGAAATGGAAGAGCGTAAATACAGAGCAGGCATGCAGCAAATCTTAGCAGATTACCCCATCTCCCAGTGATTTTTGCTCAGGTGCTTCGTGATCTCTCTGTTCTGGAAGATGAGATGTTTCACACATCTTGAAGGTGAGAAAGGTGCACGTGATAACTGCGGTATGTCTCGTGCAGTGACTCTCACAGAGCAAGAAGCCTCAGAGTGCTGATAAAAATACACTGAGCTGCTGATGAAAAGCACAGCTGCTGTAACACCTATGATTGGTGAGACCTACCAGATCAGGACAGGCCAAAAAAGGTGAAAACAGCTACTGTGGAGAGGCTTGCTCAACTGAAGGATTCAGGGCAGCAAACATAACTCACTGGAACAGTTTGTGTCTCACAAATGCTTTCTTAGATATTGCTCATCCATGTCATCATCACTACGTTTTACCCTTTAAAAATGCTTGAAAATTGCCGGGTGTGATAAATCTCTTGAGTTCTGGTGTTCAAACCAAGGCTGATCATCACAAATATTAATAGAAAATGGTGTCTGTTTTTTTTCACTGGTGTAATTATTACTGGTTTTCATTTGAATTAATATTTGAGATGCAGGTTAGCCTCGACATCCCAGAGGAAAAACTGGGAATCATCTGGGCTGAGCCAAGCATCAAACTATTAAACTCTAAAGGTCTGAGAAGACAGGAATATGCTTTCAGTTGAAGAGGGCTGTAGAGGCACAAAGAAGTCGACTTTAGTCACAGGGTGGACAATTGTGGTGTTACTTCCTTCCCCTTAAGGGTGTGTCAACACAAGAGAAAATGTCACCAGGAGAAATGTCATAAATTGTCTGCTCAGTGCTGCTTTGTGGAGAAACCTCTCTGCAGGCGTGGAGAACTGAGTGGAGAGAGTGAAGCTCTGAACTGGGGGTGGATGCAGTGGCCAGTGGAAGAAGACTCTTCCCTGGACAGGGCTGAGAGCCTGGAGAGGTGAGGAGTGGAACAAATGGCCTCCTCTCCTCCTTCCTTATATTGGGCTCTGAGTTAGAGCACTCCTCCTCCAAAGCTCCAAAGCTGACAGGCCAAAGCTTCACGACAGCCCTTCAGCACCTGATTTTCTTTTGAAGGGTAGGTCCATGCCCATGGCTGCACTTTGTCAGCTGAGGCGTTGTGCTTGGCGCTGACAGCCATTTACATGAGAAGGTCTCTTGAGCTCAGCCCCAGCCCTGTGGCTTAGTCCATATGCCAAACACCAAGGAAAAATGCCTGCTCCAGGCAGGTAGCTTAGAAAGTCACAGGCATCTCCTTCCTGAGGCTCCCTCAAGGGTGCTGAGCATGGGAAGGAGACTTGGAGCAAAAGTGGGAGAGGAGGAGGCAAGAAAAACAAGCATTGGGAGTATGTGTCCACCGAACTCTTCCACTGTTTGCTGCCCTGCACCATCACTGGCTGCTCTGGGGGAAGCCTTACAGAAATGAGAATATTCAGACAAGCACAGGATCAGGAGAAGTGTGTAAAACCATGAGGAGGGAAGGAGACAGCACCCTCAACCACTCCTGAAGGTGTTTTTATTGAGGTGTGTGGGGTAGACAAGCTGATGAGTAACTGAGGTGGTGTGTGACTTGTGCCATGTCCCTGCCCTGGATGTCACCATCTGCCTGACTGTGAGCTGTATTCACCTGTTGTGCTTTACCATAGAAAGGGAGGTCTCCAAGGCCCTCTGTGGTGTTCAGTGTACAGCAGCTCTGTGGTGTGCAGGTATACAGCAGCTCTGTGGTGTTCAGTGTACAGCAGCTCTGTGGTGTGCAGTGTACAGCAGCTCTGAGGTGTTCAGTGTACAGCAGCTCTGTGGTGTGCAGTGTACAGCAGCTTTGAGGTGTTCAGTGTACAGCAGCTCTGTGGTGTGCAGTGTACAGCAGCTCTCACACCACCAGGCATGTTTCGAGTCAGAGACAAGCTCTGTATGTCAGTTCACAGACGAGGCTTGGGCAGAGAACCACTGCTCACCCTGAAATCAAGCACCTTTTTTATCCCCACTACACAGCAGATTGGTAGGTGGCCCAGAAGACATCACTCCTCCTCCACCAAAGGTGGCAGATGCTTAGAGGCAGCAAAAAATGCATCACCACCAGCCCTCTCTTATTGTATCCACCATGCTCATAAGTTAAAGCCAGCTCAAGCACCCTCTGTGTTAAGAACCTTTTCCCAATAGCCAGCCTAAACCTCTCCTGACACCACTTCAGGCTATTCCCTCAGGTCCTGTCACTGGTCGGAGTACTGTGCCATCTTCTCCACACAACAGTGAAGATTCTTCTCTCCTGTCATTCTGAAGATGGGACAATACTGAACCCAACTTTTTTTTCAAATATGTCTAAGCTGGTCCGCAACTTCATCTGCCTTATTTCTGTAGACTGATCCCCATGTGACATTTTGGGTGCAGGTGACACTTGGCATGAGGAATGATGGCAGTTTTAGCATTTACAGCACTATTTTAGAATGGGAACTGACAAAAAGGAGATGGTTGATTTTATGTCCAGGGACAAAACTTCAGATCCCCCTTGAGAGAGCTTCCACATAGCCACCAGAATCCAGCCCAACTCTCAGAGGTGGAGGGATCTTGTGACCCTCTCTTTCTCAGTTCATGTCTGAGGAGGAACCTTTCAAACATCCTCCATTACACTTGCTCCACAAACATGTCAAGTTGGCACCTATGGGACCATAACCTTTACTGACATATTTTTAAGTGATGCAATGCTAACTTTCCACCTTGTCTTCTGATTCTTAGGAAATATCAGCTGGAGAAAGAATAATGGAACGCTGTCTAAATGAAAATTGTAACTCCACTTGCCCAGAAATTCCTTATCAAGAGAGTCAGACACTTCTGGTCGCTGTTTACAGCATTGTTTTTGCAATAGGCCTTCCAGCAAATTGCTTAACGTCTCTGCTGACATTTGTACAAATCAAAAGGAATATAGTAGTTGCCATCTACATTTTCAGTTTATCATTGTGTGACCTGATGTATTTATGTACCTTGCCTGTCTGGATTATCTATGTGCAAAATGGGCACAAGTGGACCATGGGTGACACTGCTTGCAGGATAACAGGATTCATCTTTTTCTGCAGTATCTACATCAGCATTCTGCTTTTGTGCTGCATCTCTGTGGATCGTTACATGGCACTGGTGCATTCTCTGGAATCAAGGGGAAGAAGACAACAGAAAAATGCCATCATAATAGTCGGTTTTCTCTTTACTGTGGTTGCAGGAATCCACACGCCGGTATTTTTTATGGAAAATGGGCAAAACTGTACAGAGGTGAAAACCTGCTTTGAGACAGTGCCCCTTGACTTATTATTGGCTTATTTCAGCTGTGCTAGATTCCTGTTTGGATTTTTCATACCCCTCCTGATCCTGATTTTTACAAACTGCAAAATTTTCAAAGCTACAAAAAGAAGCAGCAGCTTGACTTGTCGTGAGAAAGCCAAAGTGAAGCATGTTGCTATTGCCATTATTACTATTTTCGTGATCTGCTTTGCTCCATATCATCTGGTTCTCATAGTAAGAGCCATATACTTTATGTTTCATCAGGACTGCCCATGTCCATTTGAAAATAAGATATATTCAACCTTTACAGCGTTTCTGTGTTTAGCCACTGCAAACAGCATTGCTGATCCAATCATCTACGTTCTGGTCAGTGAAAACGTCAGAAATGACTGCTATAGGAGCCTGAGAAGATTGAGATGGAACTCATCCAAGCCAAATTCATCCACCGATCACAATACTGACAACATAAAGTTGGAAACGCTAAAAGAATCAGAGGAAGAGGGCCAAAGTAAAGAAAACTCAAAGAAATAACAGATTCATCTGACATTCAGAAGGCCTGCACCAGTGGCAGAGACCAGGAAAGTGGCAGCTAGCTGGTAGCTGCTGGAACAAATAAGAAGTTCCCAATGCCAGCTGCAGGACACAAGTTTTTACATGCTGACATCATCTTGCATATCCTGCATGGGCCATTAACTCCTTGAGGATGCTATGGGAGCAATAATTCACATTTCTGTTTGTCTCCTACAATAAACTCTGTCCACCAGTATCACTGATGAAAACACTGCTTTGCTAAGGATATGTGAAATAAATGAAGTAATTTACTTGGACTAAAATTTGGATCTTTTGGGGTTTTTTTGGACTGACTCTTTCTCATATGAAATAAAACCAGTTTTAACATCTGAGCAAATTTTTTTAAAAGCATTGTAGAGGAGAACAATTTACTGTTCTTAATGTTGAAATTTTTGCTTCTTGAGGAGGTACATGCTCCAGTTCTCATACATCCCTCTGCTGTTACTGTTTGTGGTTAACCAGTGGAAAATATTAAAAATGAGTGAACATTTTCCTCGTATGCTAGCATGTGACTTCAGGCACATCACACATTCCAGGAGAATTAGATGGCAAAAAAAATGCCTGATAACACAGACCAACAGTACTGCTGCTGCATTAGTCAAGATTCTGCACTGCCCTGAAATTCCTAAAATGTACAGTTCTAATGCTTGATAGCTTACAATTAGCAAATTTTACTTGTTTTGTAGTCAGACCAAGAATGCACTGAAATATACAGAAAATGTATACATTTCCAAGTGGAGTCGGGGACTGCTTTTATGCCATCCCCAAATGTTTGCTGAACTCGTGTTTCATTTCTGACTAAGCTAACCCTTCCCTTTTGTTATTGATCCCACTTTTACTGTGCAGGAGTGTGCAGAAGCTATGGGTAGGCTCACAGATGGTATGGAAGGTTGGCAGTCTGGAGAGCACAGTCCTTCCTCCCCACAGCTGGAACTCCCTCAGACCTGCTGGGGCAAATTCCACTGTTGCTGCTGTCACTTCTATTATGAATAACTTGTTGATGGTAGTACCTTGTGCCTTCTAGCAACTATTTAAAAAATAAGAATGATACAAATCTGGCAATGTTTACCTAAACAATTTCTTCATATTTTTATGTGATTCAACAGACAGATCATGAACCATTTTGAGTATGAGTTTGTAGAGTGTTTCATAGCATCATTCCATTTAATCTGTGGTGTTGTATTCCTGTGACATTTTGAAATTGTTATTGACATTGACATTTCTGCATTGAATTAATATTAACCAGTCTTAATATAAATGCAATACTTTTTATCTTAAAACTGCCATAGATATCTTTGTATGTTATATTTTTATATATTCTTACACTTTTGTAAAGAACCTTTATGCCAAAATTATATATCCTCAACTTACTATATTTATTACATATTTCATTTTTTAATTATTGAATGACTCCTCTGGTATTTATATGTGAAATGGCTTTGTCCTCAAAAGTAGTCCACATAATACTAAATTGGAGATTGTTCCTTGGAAGAACATGACATTCTGTTGAGGTGCTAATTAAAAAATTCTGGATTTCTATTTTTATATGCATCTCAGAGATCAAATTCTCTAAGAGAGAATCATGGAGAGAGCTGCAAGGTGCTGAGTATCTGTAACTTTCAGTTGCTGAAGAATTCTGCAGCAGCAGCAGAACATGGCTGCTGACAGCCCCTGCCAGACAGAGCACTGGTGACTCATCTCTGAAGATGTACATGCAAACCACCCGACCTCAGGATTTTCATAGTCTGAAATCAAACCTTAATGAAAAGCAGCAGTGAATTTAGAAGAAACCAGAAGTACAGGCTTCTGAACTCATTAGCTATTGACCTCGATTAATTTAAATATCTCTGATGATTTTCCTCTGATAAGGAGTGAGTGTTGAGGGAGGGGATTGTCCTGCCCTGCGCTGAGCTGCTGCGGCCTCACCTCAAGTCCTGCGTGCAGTTTTAGGAGCCACCATATAAAGATGACATTAAACTGTGGCTCTCCTGCAGTCACAGAGTGTTGGAATGCTGGCTAGCAAAGCTCCCTGAGTGACCAGAGGGGCACACAGGAGAGGCTGCCCCTGAGCTTCCACCCAGGCCTTTCAGGTGGCAGTGGGTGCAGCGCCGTGGGTGACACCGCAGCACGACAACACCAGGATCCCAAGGGAAAGAGCCAAAGGAGAGGACACTCTATGCAGTCCAATGAAGCTTAATTCAAAGATGGGTCAGGGAGGAGTGACAAGGGAACAGTGATCGGCTAGGGTTTTTAAAGGAGGCTACTTTAGAGAGTGGGAACATCACATAACCAAGGGGAGAACACTCAGGGAGGAGCATGGGATCTAACAAGACCAATGGGGTTAACATAGGGGAGGGAGAAGCCTCTAAAACAAATCAACTGTTAGAACCAGGGCATCAAACATTCAGGAACAAAAGGGATGGATCTAGGTTGATGGACAAGGGAAGGGGACAGCACAGCTTAGATAGACAGGTCTACACCAGGGAAGGAAGGGAGAGAGGAGCAGGGAAACAGGCAGGGTGAGTGGCGGCTAAGGGCGGGAAAACTTAGGGGTAAACAACTTGGGAGAAACCATTGTAAGGGGATAAAACGGGGGTACAGGGATGAAAACATTTTGTTTAATTAACATTGAACCACTAACTGTTGCAATTGAAACAACTGTAGACCTCATAAAACACACTGCCACATCAAGCTATTTGAGAATAACCAAAGGAGGGCCATGAGGATGGTCAAAGCTCTGGAGGGGAGGATATGAGGAGTGTCTGATGTCACTTGGTCTGTTCAGCATGGAGTCTGAGGGGAGACCTCGTCATGGTGGGAATCAAGGGAGCAGGCACTGGTGTCTTCTCTCTGGTGACAGGGACAGGACCTGAGGGATGTCCTGAAGCTGAGGCAGAGGGGACTTAGGTCAGATGTTAGAAAAAGGTTCTTCACCCAGAGGGTGGCTGGGCACTGGAACAAGCACCCCAGGGAAGTGGTCACAACACCAACCCTGAGAGAGTACAAGAAGCATTTGGACAATGCTCTCAGGTGCCCTGCACAGAGTCGGGAGTTGGGACTTGAGGATCCTTGTAGGTCTCTTCCAACTCAGGATATTCTACAATTTTGTGAACCAACCTTAGAACCCAGTGGCACAGATGCAGGGGCCAGGGATTATAAAGGTCTGATGCAACAGCTACAGTTCTGCTGCCTTAATGAAGGTGCACGCTGTTCTAAATTACTATGTCATTCTGCATCTTCTCTTCATGAAAATCCTTGGAGTTTCTTTGTTCAGCCACACTCTGAAACAAAAGCTTTAGAAGTGACAGACTTGTGCAGCCTGATCTAATTTAAAAATTTACCTAGATAATCTCCAGAGATGCTTTCCAAACTAAAATATTCTGTGATAGATTACTGAAGGGGTTAGGGGCCTGGTACCAAGCAACATATCCACATGGGAAAACTGCACATGCTGAGTTCTTTGGATAAACCGAAAAGCAGCTTTATGGCTGAATGAGGGCATCAAGAAACATTCCATCTTGTTAAAATATCCCACCAGAAAAAGTGACTGTTTCTTGTCTGGTAATTCAAGTACACTGTTATAAATGACCAAGTCGTGAGCCAAACTTATAAGAAAATTTAGCAAAGATTTATTAATTTGTCTGCGAGACTGAAGTTCGGTTGTCGAAACCACCAGAGTCAGTGTCGAGCCCGGGATCGGCGCTGGGTGAACACACGGATGTGACTTCCGAATGTCAGAGTCTGCCCAGTTCACGAATGCTGCCTCGCAGCAAGTTTTTATACACTTTATTCTGCCCGAGGCAGAGATAACCAAATGTTCTTTGTGTCTCTTCACATGCATCACCGTGGCTTTACATGTGCAGAGCTGCGCAAAGGTTCAGTCCAGGTGTCCCGATGTTGTCAGTCGATTCTGGCGAAGCCATGTATTCACATGTATCAGGGTGGTTATCGTGGAAGATGTAATCAGCAAGGCGATAATCACTCTTAGGTGGGCCCAGCGACCCAACCCGACCCAGGGAAGCCAGTGATTATCGACCTGGAAACTTCTATTCTTACGTTAAAACCCCGATGTTTATCTTAACGTGCTGGGAACTCGATGTATATGAATAAGACACTGCTCCCGGCCAGGATGGCCAAAAGACGTAATTTGGATTTTACAATATTTTATACATTAATAGCATGAATTATCTCTACTATATACTACACACACAATCTATTTTTTGTCAGAAGTACCTGACTGTGCCACTCGGGCAAAGGAAAGGTCTCAGCAGTGGCACAAGTGTGAGATACACAGCAAAGGGCACTCTTCTGTTCAGAGCAGACCTGGGGGTGGATTGATTGTGTGGGTCTTTCCATCCTTTCCTCCTGCAGACGCACCACCAGTGAGCCCACAGGGACTGCTTCATGCTGTGAAGAAAGGTTCACCTGCTGCATCAGATCTGCAGTTCTCAACACAGCCATCTGGATCTGTACCCATATGGATCTGGCTCCCAACCTCCTCAACTCAGTCCAAGCTATGAGTTAGAGTGAATACAAAACAAAACCAAGGCTGTGCCTCCCAATTTGGTCTTTAGATGGCCAGGTCTCCATACATAAGGTGCAGAGCGGGTTAGCTGCTCACTAGTGTAAGGGATTAGAAAATTTCACTCTTTTGTACTCAGCATTTACTCAGGTATAACTTCAATCATTTGACTAAAAGAAGAGTGGGCTACTGTATAAATAAAACATTATTTTATTTTTACATGTGTCTCAGACACTTATAATGTACCTGGGAGATAACCTCATTGCTGATTATTTTAAGTATGACTATAAAACATGAAGTGAATAATTTCTGGCTATGAACTAGAGCTGGCCAGACTAGTTTTTGCAGACAATATATGTGATTTGTTTGCTTATTCATCAATTTTAAGTTATATCTGAAGACTGCATTTTTTTTTAAGTAAATGTTTAGGGTAACTCAT